CACAAGTACTATGAAAAAAATTGTAAGTGGTGACTGTTTTCTTGTACTATGCTGGGTTTGATTTCAGTCTCTTTTAATTGGTATGGTATTTGTGTTATGTTCATTTTGTTCACTTTAATTTTTTTTAAAGTCAATTTTTATTTACATTCTTTATGTAGAGACATACTTGATATCAAATAACCAGACTTACAAACGTATGTTTGAATTTGCAGCAGTCATTTTCTCGTTTAAATTTTTATTTGGATTTTTCTGTACAAATTAGTGGGTGGTTGGCGGATGCTCTGGTGTGGTTTGCTCCTTCTTTCCTATCAACCATCTATCGTCCTGATCTCTCCTCCTTCTTTTTTGTGTTTGTTATTCTCTTGTAACGCCTCTAATCTTCGGCACTTATTTAACTTATATAGATGATCTTATTGTGTTGCAAGTGCTGTAAAACTCTTACAATAATGTTCTGTAGGGTGTTACACTCATTGAATCTAAATCTAAAACATAAAGTAAAGACGTAAAAATATACATTAATTAAACCATCTTTAACTCAGTTGTTTTATTGTGTATCTATTTTCGTCAACCTGCAGATCGCATGACATTATAATATACACTTTGTGTTCGTACATGCTCACTCATAATGATGTATTTGCTTGCATGTGTGATGAGAGAGAAGGTGTATGTTTCTGTGTGGATGGCGTGCGTGTGCACAGGCATGCTTGTATGTGTGTAAGGTGTATGCTTAAATGAGTGAGTGTGTGTGTGTACAGTAGTATTTTTACAGTATTGTTCATATATATATGAATTAGTACTTGGAATTATGTAAAGTGCCTAGTGTTGTATGCACCCATGAGTAGGCGCTATAAAAATATTATCTACACTGATGTTACATCAAAGCTTAGCACAGAGGAAAAACTGTTTGGATAAACTTTAGTCTTCTGGTTTAAAATTAATCTGATAGCTGCTGAGAATATAGGCTTTCATGAATTCAGTTCCGTGTGACATTACCAAAATCAATAGTAGTCTACCCTGTGCATATATGTTAGTTTTTGTTCTGCAAGGGCAATGTCACAATGTGTCTCTGACTATTGTTTGTATTTTTCTTACATGTTTGGGGGGTTTTTTTCAAATTTGCTATAGGGTTGAGAAAGTGTTTGAATCTGTTGTGTTTTTGTGTCAGTCCACTTTTGTCTGTTGTGAAAGCAATTTTTACTGAAGAATGCTTTGAGTGTGTTTTTTTTTGCAATTTAAATGTGGGGTTTTGCTTTTACCTCATGAATTATATTTTTTAGCATGAAGCTTTAGATTTTTTAAATAGTTTTTTTTTTTTTTTTAATTGCTCTAAGCATCTGCGTTTGTCGCGGCCACGATTTTTGACAATTTATGTTCCACGAATCGCGGCCGCGATATTTGCATTTTTCTACCATAAAAAAATACACTGCTCGGGAATAAAACATTGAAAAACAAACCCTGGGGAGTAAAAATCGAGAAACAACAAAAGAAAACATACAAAAAACACCCAAAAATGAAGAAACCAATCCTCCTTGACTTTACTTTTTGAAAGAATAACTGGAAAGTTTACTTTCACTTCGTCTTTTTCTCACTTGTTGACACCACGTTGATTTGTTATTTTCAATGAAATTTCATGTTAAGAATAAGTACGTTACATACTATTTATGTATTGCTGTTTCCCTTCAATTTGTTCCTCTTTATTGTGTTTAAATTTTCCTTGTTATTGTTCTGATGTGTTCTTTTTTCTGTTTTTTTAATGTTTATATAGCGTATGTCATTTAATTTGATGTTGTTCTCACCTTTTTAAAAAATACAAATGTGTTATGCCAGAGCATGTCTCTACCAAAACTGAATACTGACATTGGCAGGCCCCTTGTGTGATTCCATGATTTATATTATTATAAATGTAAGTAATATCCTGTACTTTTTCTTAAATTATACACGTTTAGGTTAAAAAGGGCCTATCTTCGGATAGGTTAACACATGTCTTTGTCAGTTAATTTTTGTGGTTGTTTATGTGCTGTTCTAATTTTGATTTCATTCTGCTGTGAAACCTTTATTTTTCACGTTTTACATCTGTGTGGCTATAAATGATATTCTGGTTGCTTAAAACAGAATACAATAAATTCTGGTGCTTTAGATTAAGTTACCTCTCTCAACATATAACGTCGTCACAGAGAGTTGAAAGTTTGATAATTAATGGCAATTTCTGCCATTTTTATGGCAACTTTTGGACAAAAAAATGGCAACAAACGGAGGTGCTAGATTGCCGTCTTGCCTTTGTTGTGGTTTTAAAATAATGTACTCTTTGTGCCGTGTGTCTCCTTACTTTACATGTCATCAGTACAGATTGTCAACTCCGCTGAATTTTGCTCTACTAATACTAAAGTCTCTGTGTAGATTTGTATTTCTGTTCCAGATTTTTCATAGTCAGTTAATCCAATAAACCCATGTGCACCCCTGAGCTTGACTAAAGGACAAGCTTTGTCAACTCACCCGCTCCTATTTTTCAAGAAATGTGGTATAGTATGTTTTGTTGATAGCTAGGGGGAAGGGGTTGTATAAGCTGAGAAGATCAAACTGAAAAGAGCTCATGTCATTGTGCCTCTGCAATGCTGTGAAAATAACAGATTGTATGAACCATGAATAAAGGTTACAAAATCGTTCTTTTTTTTCGGTGCATAATGTGTAGTAGACTAGTTGGATAGTGTTTACACTTTCAGATGTATTGGTAGGCTACTTTTTCAGCCCCCTTTTTCCATTTGGTAATCAAGAATATTTTTAAAGAAAATAAACTCCTTCTGGGATGCAATCTACTTTTTTTGATTGATGTCATTTCACTATTTATATTTTACTGGGTGTGGGAGGCTTTTTTGTTCGTTTTGATTACAGACGTATACGGTATAGTGTGCTTTTTGGGAGAAGCCAGATACTTTTATAACAGTCAGAATGAGCACACTTGTGAAGATTAAAGAAGTAGGACATAATATATATGGGCACCCTCCAACCTGCATGCGTGTATTTGATCTAATATCATACATAAAAGGTTTCTCCTCCCCCCTCGCCCTCTCCATTTCCTCGTCTTTTTTCTCCTCCTCCTCATCCTTCTCCTCCTCCTCCTTCTCCTCCTCCTCCTCCTCCTCCTCCATCATCATCATCATCATCTTCTTCTTCTTCTTCTTCTTCTTCTTCTTCTTCTTCTTCTTCTTCTTCTTC